CCCCTTCAGTGAATCCACCTGTGCTGAGTAACAACTGACACAAGTTAATGGAGGTAAGTAAAAATGCGGTGAAAGAATTTACCCACAATTCAGTCTTGAGATGGAAAAAAAAGAAGAAACTATAGGAATAAATCATAGTTAATATAAATCATAGTTAATATGGTTGATTAGGAAATATACACAGACAGAGCACATGCTTTCCCCTCCAAAATACACAAAGGATTTGCAAATATTAATCACAAGCAAGTTGGCAGTGTAAAAAGCACAATAAACTCAGAAAAGATGAACTATGTATCCTACTGTCAGTGTATAAAAAAATAACATTTAAAACGTCCAGTTTTGTGTAATTCAAAATGACGTATATGAATAAGTCAATAAAAAGAAAATCAAAATGTTAGGCAGGAAAACAGAAGACAAGTCCTGTGAGTGAAACACGAAGGACAGGACTGAGGGCTGTTCCAGGTCTCAACGTCACACTATCAAATAAGAAAAGCTGAGGAAGTCAGTGGCCAGGCAACAGTGGTGCACACCTTGAAACTCAGGAGGTAGACACAGGTGGATCTCTGAGTTCAAGACCAGCCTGGTCTATACAGAGTGAGTTCCAGGATAGCCAAGACTACACAAATAAAAATCCTGTCTCAAGAAGAAGAAGAAGAAGAAGAAGAAGAAGAGGAGGAGGAGGAGGAGGAGGAGGAGGAGGAGGAGGAGGAAGGAAGAAAGGAAGGAAGGAAGGAAAGAAAGAAAGAAAGAAAGAAAGAAAAAACAGGAGACTTCAGGACCCAATCTGCTACAGTTGCAAGGAGAAGCAGGATCCAGTAGGAAAAGCACACTGGTTAATTATGGGGAAACTAGAACTTAACTCTACCCCCCCACACACACCCTGTATCTTTGGATGAGCCAATGAATGTTCAGAACCTCTGAAATCCAACAGCAAAGGAAATGAGGCTGATTTCCCTCGCAGTCTGCAGCTATAACGCAGACTTAATTATGGAAGAAAACCACAGAATTTGGTAAAATGCTGATGTACAACAGAAAGTTCTGTAAAGTGGCCACATGGACTCTCAGGATACCCTGCATGCCTCTGAGAATGCATGGACATTTCAGGAAACTGTACAGATTCTGGGGAAGAGGCTGAGGATGAAGGAAGTCTGATTGGGCAGACAACAGGACTGACTGAAAAGGAAGACATTCCTACTCCTAGGAATGGCTGAGGAGAAAGGTTTTATGGTACATATGAAGGAGAGCACAGCCAGAGGCATCTGGAAGCATCCAGACTGAACAGAGCCATGAGGGGAAGGGTTTGAGGGTAGAGAGGGAAGAAAGAGAAAGAGAGAGGAGAGAGAGGCCCAGAGGACCGAGAGAGCACATGGGAACCAAGACAGCGTGCAGTCAAAATGGCTGAGTTCTACAGAATCAGAAGCTGAGGGAAGGAAGGAAAGACCAGCCCATGGGTTGGAGAGGTTGAGGGTGGGATGGGGTGAGAAGTGGTGGGAGGAGCCACGGGTTCTTAGTGAGATTTGTCCCAGATTTATTTGGGACCTGACAAGAACAAAGCATGAAAACAGAAAGCACATTTTCCGAAGCGAGGAAACAGGAAGTATGCCTTCTAAGGCCCGGAAACAGGAAGTCTGTCCTCCAAAGCACAGAAACAGGAAATGTGTCCTCCAAAGGACAGAAACAGGAAGTGTGTCCTCCAAAGGACAGAAACAGGAAATGAGTCCTCCAAAGGACAGAAATAGGAAATGTATCCTCCAAAGGACAGAAACAGGAAGTGTGTCCTCCAAAGCACAGAAACAGGAAGTGTGTCCTCCAAAGCACAGAAACAGGAAGTTTATCCTCCAATGCACAGAAACAGGAAATGTGTCCTCCAAAGGACAGAAATAGGAAATGTATCCTCCAAAGGACAGAAACAGGAAGTTTATCCTCCAATGCACAGAAACAGGAAATGTATCCTCCAAAGGACAGAAACGGGAAGTTTGTCCTCCAAAGCACAGAAACAGAAAGTGTGTCCTCCAAAGCAAAAATCAGAAAGTACGCCCTCTACAGCATAGAAACAAGGAACATCCCCTCACAGTGTTAAACAGGAAGCAAGCCCCTTCACCTGAACCCAGTCCAGCTTCTCTTCCACTGGATACCAGGGGCATCAAGTCCCCACAGCCACGCTGTGTGACATTCCTGTCCCAGAACGGAACATCTTGACAGCCAATAGACTAACCCTTGTGGTTAGACCTCTCCAACATCCTGCAGGTATGTTCAGACCCTGAGGCCTCCATTCTGACAACACCCAGCCTTTTCCAGGTACCTTCCACACACTTCCTTTCTGCTGGTTTCACTCAGTTGGTATCGATAGAGGGAGACCCTGAGACCACCTCTGAAAGTCTACACAGAGAACCTAACCAGGGCCCAGTCCTAGAACCTAAGCCACCAGGTTCACACTGCAGAGTGTATGGTTCTCAGGGGAGTTCCATTATATTCCTACAGTGCTGACAATGAGCCACTGAAAGCCAGTATTTAAGTCAGGGCACCGCCAGCAAGATAGCTGCCAATACCAGGCTCAAGTACAAAACCCAGTGAGGGCACACGACACTTAGGTGCCACCCACGGAAGGGTATGGGGAACCACACATCACACCTAAGCCATGGGCAGAGACAGCAACTACACGCACTTACGTACGGAAATGGAAGGAACAACAACAAGGGCACCCAGACAGTTCAAGTGGGGCATCTGGCAGCGAAACACAGGAATTCCAATGCCTAGAATACACAAGAGGTTCATGCCAGAAACCCCATCACCCCTCCAAGAGGATTTTCTGCAATTCTGTCCCTAAGAGCCAAATTCCTGCCAGTCCTCACGTAGTCACCATCATATGAGGCTAACGAGTAGGTGAACAGTTATTGTGGTTGTTTGAATGTAATTGGCCCCCATAATCTCATAGGGAGTGGCACTATTGGGAGGTGTGGCTTTGTTGGAGTGGGTGTGGCCTTGTTGGAGGAAGTGTGTCACTGTGGAGCAGCCTTGGAGGTTTTCTATGCTCAGGATACTGCCCAGTGTTTCGGTCGACTTTCCTGGTCCCTGCAAGCCAAGATGTAGCCAGCACCACATCTACCTACACACCGCCATGATAATGGACTGAACCTCTGAAACTGTAAGTGAGCCACCCCTAATTAAATGTGTTCTTTTCAAGGGCCGCCATGGTCATGGCGTCTCTGCACGGCAACAGAAACCCTAACTGAGACAGCTATGTTTCTGTTTTCACAACTCAGACACTTGGCTGATGGCTTCCAGCAGGCACCAGGGAAGTCAAGATTGTGAGGTGAGAAGGGTCTAGAGAGGTGACAGCTCAGAAAGTTCCCAGCAGCAGGAAACATGGTGGACCGCAGGTATGGAGATAGCATGGCTGAGGACTCTGTATCACTGAGAGTTGTAATGTGTATGTTGACAGGAACCTCACCACCCACAAATCCCCCGCCCAAAGCAAAGTCGCCCATATAGCAAAGAGACCTGATGAGGGGGTGAGAGTGGAGACAACAAGGGCATTTCACCTGCAAACTTGAGCTTGTTTCTTGGCTCTCTGCATGCCAGCCTGTTAGGTGTGGCAACAGTGACTGACACAGACAGATCCATAAGGACATTGTGTTGTCACAAGGAACAGCAGAAATGATTTCAACTGTGGTTTGTTCCAGACCACACACACACACATACAAACACACACACACACACACACACACACACACACACACACACACATCCCCACAGCCTAACACAAGGGTTTTTTTTTTACAATGTTGCAGGACCCTGGAAATCCCAAAGCTCCCTGGCCTCTGTATAGACAAGTCCTTGAGTACAGCCCAACCACACGTGCCCACACCCCGAGCTTGCCTCTGCTGTGTTCACAGCCAAACAAGTCCCTCTACCTGGTGGTGCTGTAGGAAGCCGAGCCACCCAGATTCATCCTCCACACCACTAAGTTTGGGCTAAGATGGAGAAGACAATGAGACCAGTTCTTCTTTGAAGCTTTACCCAAGAACTGCTATGCCTGAAAGGCCACAGACCTCTCTGAGAGGCCCCAGCACTCCCCAACATGTTCTTGCTTCCCATCTGTCCCTAGGTGAGCCTCCATAACTCTTCTCTCATGGTTACATCAACCGAATTGTTGCTATGATGGTCCCAGTGAGCTTTTCCCACAGGACAGATACTCTCATGGGGATGCTGACAGAAACAATGTACACCCAACCAATCTGTATGCCATGTTCCCCAATGAGACTTGGTCATGTGCAGGCAGTGACATCCACGTTTACACACACCTCTCCGCTCACCTGCCCTCCGCTGAGAGGCTATGTATCTCTTCCCTTCCTCCACAGTAAGAGGTGAGGGATCCGCCTGCTGGGCTCTAGAGGGAAGTCTCCATGCGGATGCTTTTCCAGAGGAAGCTAGAGCTGGCCTTTCAGAGCATGGATGCTGTCGCCTCTATCAACACCACCCCTCCATGGAGAGACTGCTGTTCCCTCCTCTTGCATCCTGAGACATTCCCTGGGTGGACCTTCAGTCCCGCAGCCCCACACAGGACAAGACAGTCCCTTTCCTGATCTCTTGTGACAATTTATTTAACTTCCTCTTGCCTCAGTTTCTCCAAAGGAACGAAGTCATGAAAGTTTATCTGGAAGTCATGAGGCTCCAACAGGTCAGTTCGGAGTGGAAAAGGCAGCCCCTAGGGGTGTCTCCTCCTCCCATCCTTCCTCCAGCCCTTGAGGGAGACTAGGCCCTTTCTGTGTTCATAAACCCCTCTGAGGGAGCATTCTAGAACACTGCAAGGATCAGCCTGTCAGATAGCTCTCCCAGCCCCTCCCTGCCTCTTCCCAGGACAGTAGGTACAAATTCCAGACAAGCTGGATCAGAGAGGAGGGTTAAGGCACTGAGACCTTCTTCTCTCTGAAGGATCCTCCTGGGCCTGGGCCTACCACCAGGATGCTGGCCCATGAGCATGCCTGAGAACTCTCACAATGTTCTCATGGGTCCAAAAACGTGGCACTTCTGAGCACAGGGCCGGGCTAGAGACCCCACTGCAGGGCCCCGAGCAACGCTACTGGTTTGTGTGGGACCCGCTGGGCATCGTATGCGCCACTGCCACATGGACGCTAATGCTGAGTGCTGCGTGGATACTGACCCGGGACCTGTTCATACCATCTAAGAACGTATTCTACGCCATAGCCAACGGTGTGGTCTTCCATCTGCTGGCCTCCCTGGTGCTCGTGTCGCACCTACGAACTATGCTAACTGACCCAGGCTCTGTGCCCCTGGGAAACCCACCCGGGCCTAACACCGTGTCCTACTGTCCCCTCTGCCTAAGTGCCGTACCAGAGAGGGCTTACCACTGCATAGTGTGCGGACGCTGCATTCGCAAGAATGACCACCACTGCCCCTGGGTCAACAACTGTGTGGGTGAGGACAACCAGAAATACTTTTTGCTCTTCACTCTGTACACTGGGCTTATCTCAGTCCACGTGCTGCTCCTGCTGGGCATCCCTTTCCTGCGCAGCCCCGCCTGGCGCGAGTGGAATGCCGGCAGCACCGCGTCGCCACCTAGCCCCATCCTCTTCCTCTTCCTAGTGGCCTTAATGGGCTTCCTCTTTGCTTTGGTGATGCTCTGCAGCCAGATGTGCTCCATCTGCACAGACAAAAACACAACTGAGATGCTGTACCAGAACAAGCGTTCACAGGGAAGATGGTCCGTGTGGGCAAACGTGAAGGCCATTTGCGGCCCCCGAGTTTCCCTAGCCTGGCTCAGTCCTTTTCATTCCCCGGGACGCCCCAAAGCGAGTGAGCACCACGATATGGCCTAAGTCGTTCACAGGTGCCTAGAGCAAAGAACAGCAACACAAACCTGGACTAGCTAACTCCCTGAAGGAGAAAGCAGCAGGGCAGAATAAAAAGGAATATACCTCCGATTTTCTGAGCAAGGAAACAGGACAGGAAAGCCAGCTGTTGGGAAACCCCAAGGAGAGTGCTCTGTGTGTCCCCCTGTGGCTTTGAAAGCCATTAAAGGCATCCAACCACGGATGAGTGTGTTGCGTTGGTGCCCACCCTTGTTCGATGCTGACTGTACATGCTAAAGTATTCACATGCTGATAACCTGCTTTCTGCAGTGAGCGACAATGACATCATCTCACTTTGAGCCATCTTTGCATTCCTCACCAGTCCAGTTCCATTGTAGGGTGTGGGTTTTTTTTTTTCCTCTCGTTGCTTTGTTCTCATATTGTTGGATTTGATTTTAATTAGACTCTTTGTGGTTTGTCGATATGCCCTAGCTTTATTTTTTTGTCTCTTTGTTGTGTTTATTTACTGATTAGGGGGGTACACACATGCACAGGGCTTTGTGGAGGTCAGAGGACCTGCTTGTGGGGTTGTGGACCCTGAGCATCACACTGAGATTACTGAGCATGATGGCAAGTACCTTTACCTAAAGAACCATGTTGGTGGTCCCACCTTGATTCCTTGGTTGGTTTTATCTATTCACATTTGACTCCAGATCCCGCCAGCCACTAGAATGACTGGGAGAACTGGGGGTTCCACCTTATTATCAGGCTGTACAAGATCAGCCAGAGATTCCTCAGAATAGGGGGCAGAAATAATTAAATATAATTAAATCTGCCTTAAGGTTAGGATTTGAAGGTCCCCGGTAGCCATAAGACATGACAGGAGGCTCCTAGTACCTTAACCTGCTGTGCCACCATATGACACTTCCTATGACCAACATACCACATCATACCAACTTCAGGAAATCTACATGCAGCCCTGTGCAGTTGTCATGGTACAAATGTAAATCCGTGAGGGCTCGTGTGTCTAACGCCACACCAGCACAGACCTGCCCCTTTTCAGATGCCCCTCCCTCCCCTCACCTGAGCAAACACTAAGATCTTCTGCATCTCTGTAGTTTTGTCGTTTCAAACACACTGCATAAATGGAGTTATATAGCATGCCATCTTTCAGGGATTTTTTTAATTTATTCATCATATTATCCTGATTATTCATCAGCATTTTGCCTATGGTAGTTGCTGGTTTGTATTTATTGATAAGTATGATCAGTGCTGTGGACCCGCTGCAGTGTTTGGTCATTTGTCCATGGAAGAGCTTTGGGGTCTTTCCTAGTTTGGACCTGTTATATGCCCATGAAGCTGCCACGGGCATTGTGTGGCGGTCGGATGTGTGTATATTTCTATTTCTCTGGCATCAGCACCCAAGGCTGCACTCACTGGTCACGGAATGGGATGTGTGTGAGTCCTGCAGTGCCTATTTCCTGTGGCATTCACACCTTCTGCTGCTGCCAGCAGGGATGAGGGTCTTCTCCACACCCTCCCAGCCTTTGGTGGTAACACCAGGCATGTCATCCAGCCATTCTCGTGGGTGTGTGGTGACACCTCGGATGGTTTCCATTCTTGCATCTCTCCTGGCTAACAGACCTAAGCCTCTTCTCCTGGGCCCGTTTTCCACCTGTCTACCTCTTCCGAGAAGTGTCTCTGTGACTTCTGCTGCTTTTCCAATTGGTTTCTTGGGCATTTCCTTGGGTATAAGGCTCTCCATGGCTTCTGTAAGTTCAGTCACTTGAGCCAACAAACTGTCTCTCTCCCACTGGCTCCGTTTGGCATGAAATCAGATTCTCTCTGATCTGGGAGGGTCTGTGTCTAGTATCTCCATGGTCCTGGTTTCTGGCCCCCTGCACACAGCCCTCTGTCTTGGTTACTGGCTGTGGCTGGCAGTAACGTCATATGGGATGCTTCCTCTAACTTTCTTTCCAAAAGAGTTGTAACTCACTCTCTTCTTCATTTACATTTCAGTGTAAGCTTTTCTATGTGTAGGTGAGTAAAGAAATCCATGAGGGATGTTGATAGTGTGCAGGGCGAGGGGCTGAACTAGACCCTCTGTACCTTCTGCCCAATTTTGCTTTGAACTTAAAATTACTGCGAGAAAAATGAAGGGATGGAGAGATGGCAAACCTGGTATCCAAGCGCTATCCCTGAAACCTATCTAAAAAGCTGAATACACAATGACTCGCATCTGTAATCCCAGGTGAGACAGGAGGTAGAAACAAGAAAATTGCCCAGAAGCACAGGGGCATGGACCAGCATCCCAGAGTATGCAGTGTGGGAGAAACGGGAGAGAGACTGTCTCAACAGTATGCAGTAAGAGAACCAATTCCTGGAGGCTTCCACATGTCCACTATGACACGCATGCACCCACGCTATGTGCACAAATGCACACACACACACACACACACACACACACATACACACACCATTAAAAAGTTGAGCTGGAAAGATTGCCCAGTGGTTAAGAGTACTCGTTCTCGCAGAGGACCTGGGTTAGATTCCCATCACCCACATGGCAGTCCATGACTGTCAACAGCTCCAGGTCCGGGAGTCACATGATGCACATACATATGTGTGAACAGAACACTCATACACATAAAATAAAATAATCTGAAAAATGTTTTGAAAGAAAGCGGACAATAAAAAGACAACTACTTAGTGGATCTCTGAGGTCGAGGCTAGCCTGGTCTAGAGAGTGAGTTCAAGGACGATCAGGGCTACATATTATACTCTGTCTCAAAGTAATAATAATAATAACAATAATACTTATATAATAATAATAAATAAAATTTAAAATAAAGTGATGAGAAGTGGGGTAGAGAAAGAGGAGAAGGAAGGAGAACCAAGGGAAGAGAAAGAGAAGGAAAGAGGATCGATATTGCTCAGTTTAGGGGGAAACTGACCCTAAGCTGCTCCGAGCCTTCCTCTTCACAGCCCAATGTGCTGTCTACTTCAGTGTTTCGGGGGTTCGGTGGCCGCTCTTTCTGAGTTGCTCCCTGTGTTCAGTCACCTGTGAATGGTGGTACACCTTGGTTCAGTTTCCATACTCAGCATGTAGGGTCTGGTTGCCTTAGTGTGCCAGGCTCCCTTTCTGCCACCCTGTCGAACTCACAGGTTTCATCTTGGAAGGTTTTTGCTTGTTGTTTCTGTAGCATCCTTGAGGCTCCCTGAATGGATGTCTCTCCTGTCTGAATGGAGTCCTCTCAGCATCTTTCCCTATGACATGTCAATTCAAGTCTTTTTCCCATTATTTTTTTTAAATTGAACTGGGTGGAGTTTTTCTAGAGACAAGCCCTTGCCCCGCATAAGAAATAACTCATTACACTTCATTTTCAGTATGAGGTGCACTCACAGAGTCACAGGCAAGCAGGGAGCGCTCGGTTCCTGTCTTCCCTCGCTGGCCACTGGCCCCTGCCTATCTGTATGCTCTCAATCCATCCTGCAGTTGAAAAGTCACAGGCAGTCTGCTATGTGACTGAACCCACAAATCAGAAAGGGAAGGCACCTCCAGCCCAGGCTATACATTAGATAAGGCTTTGTGTCCTAAGCCAATAGAATCTGGAATTCAGGGAGGGGGTTCTGCTAGACGAATGTGAAGACTGTCACTCTCTGAAGTACCTGTGTGGGAAAGAGAAGGCACTTCCGGGTTGGAACCTTAAAGATCACTGTCTCGCACCATACTAATTCCTTCTTCAGTGCTGTGATAATAACCATGAACAATGTAACTTTCAGAAGCAAAGGTTTATTTGGCTTATGGTTCCAGTGGGATAGGAGTTCATCATCGGGGGCAGCAGATAAAGCATGCAACAAAGCTTTGAGAGTGCACCCCAGTGTCGCACTTCCTCAAGGAACGACACACCTTCGGAGCCTAACCAAACATTGCCACCAACTAGGGACCAAATGTTCAGATCTCTCTGGGAGACATCCTCATTCAAACCACCACACACACCAAAATGGCACACCAGCTATTTTTGCCTTTTCTCTAGGTTGACCTCCATTCCTGAAGAATAAACAATAAAAATGTTTGCTTCTAACAGTCTCTTGAATCTTCTTGCTTCTCCCATTCCAAGAACTATTTGAAAATATTCTGCTACCTCTAGCTTGTCTTTCCATTCAATTCTTTTTGTTTCATTAGGGTCCAAGGATGTTTTCCCCCTTTCTGTGCCTTGGTTCCGTGCTTATGGGAAAGGCAAGATTGAGGTCAGTGTTCCAAGCTCCCATTAGACAGGACCCGCTACAAGTCACAGTGACCATAGTTAGTGATGACATCCTGTATGCCTGCAAATCGCTTAAAGAGTACACTTTTAGAGGTCCCTCCACAATAAATGATACATTTGTGAGATGACAAATGTACTAATTAGTGTGATTTAAATGTTGCATAGTGCATTGTATCATCACGTTTTGCCCTATGAGAATATACAGTTGTCAGCTAAATAATTTTTAAATATTGCTCCATCAACTTTTAACTTTATTTTTATAAATCAGGCACAGTAACAAAATTACAGCTTGCAACTACTCTTAGCAACCCCAGCACAGTTTGTTTTTATTTTCCATCTTCTTCTGGGTTTTGATTTCACATATTCTATGTTTTTAGATCATTTGTTTTATTCTATGAGTGTTTTGCCTGTATGTATGTATGTGCATCATGTGGGTGCCCAGTGCCCATAGATGTTAGAAAAGGCCAACAGATACCCTGGACATTATGAATGGCTGTGAGCCACCATGTGGGTTCTGGGAACCAAGCCCTGGTTTTCTGCAAAAGCAACAAGTGGTAGTAACTATGGAAGCATATCTTCAGCCTTTATTATATTTTTTATTCTTTGAAGTTCCATACATTTATACAATGCATGTTCATCATAACCGTTCATCTCCCTTCTACTCCCCTAGTATCCGCTTCCCCATCTCCCTCCCAACTTCATGTACAATTAGTGTTGCCCATCTGAGCACACACACACACACACACACACACACCACAT